ATCTATTTATAAAGTGATCAAAGTTTCCAGATGGGGCTCTATATAAAGTCATTATACAAATATTAGAAAAAGGAGAGTCTAACTTTAGAGCACATGCTTCCAGATCCTGGTCTTTGCAATAATCTTCTAAATTTATTTTAGTAAATTTTAGGTTTTCATGTACAAAAATACTCACTCCTCCTTTCTCCAGTGTTTTCCTACAGTATCTAGCACTAGCAGTATCTAATGAATATTTCCTCTCATTAGTTGAGAAAACATATCTTAATAATAATAATAATCCAATATACTATCTGTCACATTCCTTTAATAGTTCATTTCCAAATATAAATCTCAAATTCTCAACAATAAAAGAAATTGAAAACATTATTAAATCCCTTTAAGCCCAAAAATTCACATGGTTATGATGAAATTTCTACCAACTTACTTAAAGCAAGTTCTGTTTACATCAGTTCACAGTTGAATCATTTGTGTAATAAATCTTTATCATCAGGGATTTTTCCGCAACGCTTAAAATACGAGTACGCTGTAGTGAAACCACTTTTTAAAAAAGGCGAGAGAAAATGCATTTCTAACTACAGACCAATATCTATACCGACTTCATTCTCAAAAGTCTTTGAAAAAGTTATATATAACAGATTACTTGAACACTTAAATTCTAACAACATATTAGTCAAAGAACAGTTTGGATGTAGGAAAGACAGAACCACAGAAAAAGCAACCTATGAATTAGCCAACGATATTTTAAATACTCTCAATAACAGATTAATAGTGGGAGGGATTTTCTGTGATTTAACAAAAGCTTTTGATTGTGTAAATCATGATATCTTACTATCGAAATTAAATTTCTATGGAATAACTGGCAAAGCTAATGAATGGATCAAATCATACCTCAAAAATAGGTACCAAAGAGTGGAGATAAAAAGTAAAAATTCCAGTTCTAATGCATTTTCAAACTGGGGAATCATAAAACATGGTGTTCCACAGGGATCAATTTTGGGCCCCTTGCTTTTTCTTCTCTACATAAATGATCTATCAAAAACCATCAATAATAAATCTAAACCAATTCTATTTGCAGATGACACTAGTATAATATTGTAACGTGTCGGCAGCCCAGAAGAGTAACTTCTATGGAAACGCTAGAATAGACCGTTGCATAAGAAGTAACAATAGCGATACTGTAATTCCAACAGTGAGCCGTTGTATCGAGAACATCGAATCTCCATGGTTACGACCAATACGCGAAGTGTTCCCATGGAGACAACACAATAACAATGGGTTATTGCGTAGGAAACGTGGAGCCAACAAAGCGACGTTTCCACGGCTATAACAGAAGATTCATTTGCCTAGCAGCGGCCAAGGTTATAAAAGCCCAGTTTTGACGAGAAGTCTTCAGTCTTCATCGAGCCAGCTAAGAAGCCAGTCGTGATCGAGCCATCTGGGAAGTGAGTCCTAGAATAACCGTCGGAAAAGAGAGTCTCGGATCCGCCTTCAGAGAAGAAAGTCTTCATCGAGCCGTCTAAGGGGCCAGTCTCGGATCAGCCTTCGGAGAAGAAAGTCCTCATCGAGCCGTCTAAGGAGCCAGTCTCGGATCAGCCTTCGGAGAAGAGAGTCCAGTGTCTCGCTGAATATTGTGAGCAGTGATTGTAACACTGCAGACGGGAATGATTGCAAAGTGTGAGCGAACGGAATAAAGTCGCTATATCAGACAACGACGTTAATTTATTTGTGGCGTGACACACTAAACACGCTACAATATTTAAGAACTCTAAAATTGAAGACTTTAAAAATGATATAAATTTTATATTTGAAGCTTTAAATAGATGGTTCAAAGCCAATAAACTCTCACTAAATTTTGATAAAACCCATTACATACCATTCTTAACTAAAAACAGTCACCAAATTGATCTGGTCATCAGTTATACCAACAAATTAATTTGTAAAGCACCTGATACAAAATTCCTTGGAATACATGTAGACAGTACACTGTCTTGGAAAATACATGCTTGCTATGCAATGAGATCAATTAAGCCCTTTATGCCATAGGAAACACTGAAGATGGTTTACCATGCCTACTTTCATTCTGTTATGAACTATGGATTAATATTCTGGGGGAACTCTTCACATAGTGTTAAAATTTTTAAGATACAAAAGAATATAATTAGAATCATTACAGGACGCAGAAGTAGAGATTCATGTAGAGATTTATTTAAGAAATTAAAAATTCTACCTCTTCAGTCACAATACATACTATCGCTTCTCTTATTTGTTGTGTACAACAAAAATAAATTTGAATTAAATTCCAATATCCATAACATGAATACTAGACAAGAATATAACTTCCATCTACCTTTATCAAACTTATCACTATATCAGAAAGGAGTCTACTTTTCTGTCATAAAAGTGTACAGTAGTCTCCCACAAAGTATCAAAAACTTGATTAATGATACTAAACATTTTAAATCAGAGCTAAAGAAATATCTGCATGCTCATTCCTTTTACTCTGTAGACGAATACCTCAATGTAAATAGAGAATAATGTAGAATTAAGCTATACTAGTTTAAGATAAAATTACTTGTACCAGTAGGTATTGTTTTGACTTGTTCTATATCCAGAGGTATTAACCTACTTAGGATCTATGGAATGCAAATAAATTCAATTCAATTCAATAGAGTTCTCTTATTTAATCACTGAACAAGCATATTGTTTATTTTAATAATTAAGGAAGGTAAACGGTCATGCAATCCACTGAAAAAGTACTGGTTTTGATGACGGTAGATTTGGCGTAACATTTTCGTAATCTGCCCACCAAAGATGGTATTTTGTTATTTGTATTTTACGATAATTTAGTTGGGGTTACTTGTTTCTTAAAGTGATTTCTAAAATATTCACGTAATCAAAATATTTTAAATGGTGATGAGTTGGAAGATGAATGCCCCCATACTTGCACATGCCCTCATTCTGTTTTATTGCCAAAATATAAATTCATGGGTGCGATATTTGATTTTCGCACTTTCTGTGAACTTGGACGATGATGGGGGCTGGTCCATGTCGTTGTTTAACATCTTAGTAGATTGTAGTTTGCGTGAGATAATTTAAATTTTTAAATTGTGTTGTAATTTCAGTGTAGAAGGTGTAAACATCTCTCGCCCGACGAACTAGGACATAAACTTTCCGCTGACGTTCGTCAGAGATTGGCTAATGGACCAGGACTACAAGAATTTCTTTCTAATCCCTCAAGGAACTGGGATGGTTATGATGGGAAATTAAAACGCGAGAAAGGAGAATCTGAACGATTGAGGTTGCCTCCATGGCTTAAGACAACCATCCCTACTGGCAGTAACTATGCCCGTATTAGAGACCAGCTTCGGCAGTTAAACTTGCATACAGTATGTGAAGAGGCACGCTGTCCAAATATTGGAGAATGCTGGGGTGGTGGCAAGCACGGTAGTGCTACAGCCACAATTATGGTATGTTAAAGGTGGGTCAGGGAAAGTATATAAACATAAATTTTCCATCTGTCTTACTGGCGACTATTTCCACTCTGAGTGCCTTCCCTCACTCCCACTGATTGTCACTTGTATTCTAGCTTTTGTTCCATCTTCAGTGTTGTTCTGCTGTCTGACAAGCCATTTTTTCTTTCCCTTCCATTTCATTCCTAGTTTTGTTATTGGCATGCCTAGGTCTGTTTTGAGTTTTCTGCATTGGTTACTTAAAGATACTGTAAGCATTATGACTATATAGCTTCAGGTGATAGAATGATTAGTGAATGTAGAGCAGTTTGTGGAATGAGGATGAGCAGGAGAAACTGGAGTTCCCAGAGAGAACCTACCCTTGTCTCACTTTGTCCACACCAGATCTCACAAGAGCTGATCTGGGATCAAACCTGGGTCACTACTGGTTACTAACCACCTGAGCTATGACATGACCAATTTAAATTGAAGTGCATTTGTTAGCATAAAAATTCATACAAACACGATATGAATTCGTATTGATTAATAAAGCAATTCAAGAACTAGTACCAGTATTCTTGTATGCCTGAAGATGACCCAAGAAAAGGGTCAAAACACTTAGTGTTACCACCAACAGCTAATAAAACAAATGTTGATACAGTAGTGTCTTTTTGTTTCAGAACTATTGTTGTGTAGACTGTCCCATTATATATCTCTCGTATGACACACAACAGGATGCATACCATAAAGTTCCACTGAGAAGTCACATAATTTAATTTTATTAAAGTAAATTAATTATTATATTTACTGTAAGATGTATTTAAAAATGAAGATTTGTTTCACCAAATAATATAGTAAGGTGAGTCCTTCCTACTAAGAAAAGGAGTTGAGCCTGAGCTGTTGGAGGGGAGGTGAGCAACCAGCCAGCTGGTTTGAATCCTTTTTCCTCACGTTCATTCCTTCTCTGATCTCAGCATAGTAATTGACATCTATGATCCAGTAGTTTCCTAAAAGAACTTAAGTAAGTTATATGTGTAATAATACACTGCTTTTGGTTACTGTTCACTGTACACGTATGCTGTAAAAATATTACTCCCTTTGAATTCAGAATGTTCAGCTAATTTTCATGAACACTGATGAGCGATTTTAGATGGATTTAAAAATGTTTGGAAATCATGTACTTATTAGTTCTGTATTATCTGTCCATCCATTCATCTGTCTGTGCTGAGTCTATTGACAACTGATATGAATCAAACTTTTTATGGTAAATTTGTTAAAGAAACCGGTGAATGCACTCAGTGAACTGAATCTATGCAATGTTATCACTGAGAGGGTTGGCTCAGACAGTAATGCAAACTGATATTGAAGAGGTGCCTGGATGAAATCATGGTTTTGATACTGACTGTCTAGGCATACATTTTTCATGGTTTTCCTCAGTCCCTCCAAGAAGATGTCTGTATAGTACCTTGAGTCATGCAATGAGCACTTCCTTCCAGATCCTTTCCAGTTTATTGTATTTGTTAGATACTATCATCCAATCATTTGATGCTGTATGTTTTGAGTTCCTGACAGCATTATTAAATAAATTGCTTATAAATAAATGTACTGCATTATCCATGCTGCCGCTGGGCAGATGTCTGGTCCTGATACTGTTATGAAGAATGCTTGCATATTCTAGAATAGCAGATATGTTAGTCTAATTTTACTTAATTCTGTACAGGAGTCATGTATTTATCTTGACATATTTCAGATCATCATTATCCATTTGAAGTATGTTGTCTATAAATTATCAACATTGCATTGCAGCTTCTTGGAGACACTTGCACCAGAGGATGTCGGTTCTGTTCAGTGAAAACATCCCGTGCACCTCCTCCTCCAGATCCCAGTGAGCCAGTTAACACTGCAACAGCCATTGCTGCTTGGGGATTGGATTATGTTGTTCTAACTTCTGTAGATAGAGATGGTGTGTATCATAAATAGGAATATTATTTTTGCTGTGAAGGTAAGTTGTTTCTGTGTTTAATTAAGTGCCACAGAATCAAGATGTGGGGGAATGGAGATATAGGTCCATTCATTCTTAATCTCATTCTTAATCTTAGCATTGAATGGAGGTGAGTGTTGTGCTTCACATCACAGGCACTTTACCCCTGAGCATGTGTAGTGGATATGATATTTGATGGTCCCCAGAGGTTGTCTGGACACTGGAGAATAGATCTCTTTTCCCTACTGGGAATCAAAATCCAATTCCTCAGCCATCCAGCCCATAGCCTAGTCCAGTGGTGGGCAAACTATGGCCCACGGGCCAGACGCGGCCCCCTGATAGGTTCTGTCCGGTCCGCGAAATGATTCCTAATCTGACGAATGAAAAGAAGAAGAATTAAGGGAAATAAATAATTCTGGATTATTTTCTTCTTCTTTCCTCCCTTTTATGTTTAGCCTAGTGACCACAGATTAATTTATTTACTTATCCACTATGGTATTGGAATAGCAATGTTAACATTTGAGAGTGAGGCACTGGCTGCTGGCATTTTTGTAGCGAAGAGTAAAACTGGCAACGGAGCCTCCTCGCTGTACCCCCTCCAGATTACATCCACTGCAGCTGGCTACTAACACCACAGTCTTTTATTCAGACCTGGTCGCACTATTGTTGTAGGTGTTTGCTAGTTTTACTGTGCACATTCGTGAAACATTTCAGCCCTAAGATGTCAACTAAAAAACGTAAAGTTGATTCAGAGTGCCGTGTTTTCAAAGATGAATGGACTTGGAAGTACTTTTTCAGAGCTTTTATGGATAAACCACTGTGTCTTATCTGCAATGAAACCATAGCAGTCTACAAAGAATACATTTCCTGGCACTTCATCTCTAAGCATAAGAATGCTAATTATGCAGCCATGACCAAAGATGAAAGGAAACAAAAAGCAGAAGACCTACGTAAAAAACTGTCAGGTCAGCAAAGTATTTTTGAGAAAGTAAATAGTTCTCAGAAAGCAGCTACACATGCAGGTTATGTTGTAGCATACAATATTGCTAAAAGTAACAAAGCTCTCTCTGATGGGGAGTTTGTTAAACACTGCATGCTCAAAGTTTGTGATATTTTATGTCCTGACAAGACAAAGGATTTTGAAACTGTAAGCTTATCTCGAAAAACAGTGACTTCTAGAATCGAAGTCATAGATAAAAACATATTATCACAGTTGGAATCAAGGATTGGTCAATTTAAATTCTGCTCCATTACTATGGATGAAAGCACTGATATAAATGATACTGCACAGTTGCTATTATTTATAAGAGGTGTTGACGAAAACTTCTCTGTTACAGAGGAATTAGCATGCATGCGGTCGTTAAAGGGAACTACAACAGGGTCAGATATTTTTCATGAATTTCTGGAAGGCCTTTCAACTTTGAAAGTACCTATAACTAGCATATGCAGTATTACGACAGATGGAGCACAAAGTATGACAGGGACAAAATCTGGATTTGTTGGGATCTTTAATCAAGAATATCCCGAGAACAATGTTGTATTTCTGCATTGCGTCATACATCAAGACGCCCTGTGTAAATCTGCCTTGGATATGAAACCTGTGCTTGATGTCGTTGTGAAGCTTGTTAATGCCATTCGATCTCGAGGGCTTACTCACAGACAATTTCGAGAGTTTCTTGACTCCATGCAATCTGAATACTCTGATTTACTGTACTACTCGAAAGTAAGGTGGCTTAGCGCGGGACGCGTCTTCGAGCGAGTTTGGCAGCTGAAAGACGAAATAGTGTCATTCTTCCAAGAGAAACAGTGGTCTGTAGAATGTGAAATGCTGGAAGATACTGCATGGCTTTCGGACTTTGCATTTTTCACAGATCTTCTCTGCCACCTGAACAAGTTGAATGTCAAGATGCAAGGAAAAAATCAATTTATTGATGATATCTGGGGCCATATCAGAAGTTTTAAACTACAACTTGTTCTGTTTGCAGATCAGCTAGCTAAGAATGACTTGTCTCACTTCCCGAGGTTAAATTCAATAGCCCCAGTGATGAAGGACAAGCTTAGGAGCTACGAGGATAGCCTGAGAAGACTCCGTGGTGAATTTGAACGAAGATTTCAAGACTTCAGTGCCATTGAAAAAGACTTGGATGTTTTCAGTATGCCTTTTAATGTAGACTGTGAAACAGTGAAACCGGACTTGCAACTTGAATTAATTGAGTTGCAATGTAACACTCAACTCAAACAGTTGTTTCTCAATGTCCCAAAATTAGAGTTCTACAAGTCCTTGTCAAAATCCAGTTTCCCAAATCTGATATCTCATGCCCAGAAAGTCACTGCTATGTTTGCTTCATCCTATATATGTGAACAGGTGTTTTCTACAATGAAACTTCGAAAGAGTTGTATTAGAAACAGACTGACAGATGAGCATTTAACTTCACTTCTGAGAATCAGTGCATCCCAGTTCGAACCAGATTATGAGAAAATTTTGGAAATGCAGTCACAGTTTCATTCATCACATTCTCCTTCATAATCTTTCAATCATTAATAGGGCTTAGTATTACAAGAATTTTGTAAAATCTACCATTAATGTTTTTAATAAATTATATTGGCCTGCCTAAAGTTTTTTCTTTTTTCTTTGGCCCCCTCCTAAAAAAGTTTGCCCATCACTGGCCTAGTCAGTTATTCCTTTCACTATTGATCCCTGTCTGCTGGAAACACTGAGGGCACATTAGCTGAATGCAGTTGCACAGAAAAATCCTTGGTACTTTCACGGATTACCCTCACATGACCATAGGTGTAGATTGTGTGAAAGCTTGTTCCATCCCATGCACGCACATGTAATTGACATTGAAATGATCTGTTCAGGTGTGGCAGATATAAAGGAAATATGCGAAGCCATCCTAATCATGCAAAGGGTTAAGCACAGATACAACCTCACCCTTTACCTGTGTATAGTAGACTAGTGGTGGCACCTGTTCCACATATTGCATACTGCTTATTTTGTCACCATTACTGGGCAGCAGAAAAGTTACATGAGTAAAGCCCATATATGCAAATATATATAGAGATCATACTAGTAAAGAATATAATTTAATGCAAGGAACAATTGATATTTGGCTGAGATAATGCTAAATTTTCAGATTTGCCGGATGGAGGATCACATCATTTTGCTGAAACTGTGAGAGAAATCAAACGGCAGTAAGTGAGAGTTTCTTTTGTCATTGTCATCACTGTAGATTGATTCGCACAAAGGGAATCCAGGAAATAAGCTTAAAATACAAAAGGAAAACCAATGCATCATATCATATGCTGAAAGAATATTTAAGATACAAAAGAGAGCTATCAGAATAATAAAAGGAAGTAGTTATAGAGAATCATGCAGAGAACACACTAGAAACATGAATATACTTCCATTAAGATCACAGTATATATACTCCCTGTTAACATTTGTAGTAATAAATAGAGAAATGTTTGATATAAACAGGGATTATTATGAAATAAACACCAGGCATAATATGGATATGCATATGAACCAGGTAAACTTGATGAAATATGGCAATGGAGTATTTCACATGGCTGTGAGGATGTACAATGCNACAATTATAATTATTTTAGTAGAATAATATATGATGTATTTATTTTATATATTATATTTTTAAAAAACTAGTATACAAATATAATTATTTAGGAGAATATATACTGATGAATTCATTTTATTTCAAAGAACTGTATAATAAATATTTGTTAAATTATATATTAGAGAATAACTTCACTATGACGTAAACAATTTTTGTTATAAATTATGCATACGTTTTATTAGACAGTTTCTTGATTGTATTAGCAAGACAATTTGACACAATTGCTCGGCCTCGAATGGATGTGATGGAACAAGAAATTAAAGTAAAGTCTTTCTTCTTCATTAATATTATTAAAAGAGTAAATTTTACTTTCCATGTAATTTTTTATATATTTAATAATACAAGGGAGGGTCAGTAAATAGGTCACAAATGGAAGTAAAACAGTTGTAATGGACATAACAGGTTTTCTATGTGTATCACTAGGTAGCAATTGCAGTCCATCTTTATGACACTCTAGGTAGCAGACATGCATGTGCATATTCAGAGGCTGGTTTCAGTAGTCAAAATTGTGACCTTGTTTGAGAAGTATCCTACAGAAGAGCAGCCTTCTGTTGTGTGTTTACTGTGACAAAAGGACTCTATGTAAAGGATATTCATAAACAGATTTTTCCCATATACAGTGAGAAGTGTTTGTCACTTAAAGCAGTTCACAACTGGCTGGCAAATGTTTCACTGATGACGAGGTTGAAATGGAGATGAGGAAGTGGCTGAGAAAACAGTCAGATGACTTCTGTGCTGTGGGTTTTGATGCACTGGTAAAGCGATGTGACAAGTGTATCAATGTTGGTGGAGGATATGTCTAGAAATAAATGTCTTTTCCAGGTTTTAATATCACATTTTACGCTTTATGTCCATTAGTGACTCTTCCTCATACTTTCAGTAGCTCAGACTATGTTTTGATATTCTCACGGCAGTATGTATGAATATTACTGTCTTCTGATGTGTGATATTTAAATTACGATTCCCAAGGCAGAGTATGCCTTGCCTAAGTAGACAGCAGGTTTCTTGTTGATACGTGGAGGAGCATTGTGTTATGCCTAGTGCAAGCGTTTTAATTTACATTTGAACCTTGTACTTCTTGTATACAAAGCAGGAATGCTTAATTTGCCTCTTCCCATTATGAAATCAATTAAACTTGTGTTTATTTGTGCTTGTCATCAGTTTGGAGAAGAGTACTGGTTTAATTCCTTTAATGCTGTTTGTTTGTTTGTTTGTTTTTTTTTTATAGGAACTCAAATATTTTAGTGGAATGCCTTGTCCCAGATTTTCGTGGTGACTTGGATGCTGTGAAGACCATTGCTGACTCAGGACTGGATGTGTATGCTCACAACATAGAGACAGTGGAATCACTCACCCCTTATGTAAGGGACCGAAGAGCTCGGTACAGGTATATATCCATTCTCTCTGGAAACAACTGTAAGGAAATGTATTTTCAGTGTATGTATTTAATGACATTGTCAGTAGCTCAGGTTACATAGAGTCAATTGATTGTACAGTAGAGAATTATGAATTGGAATGGATATGGAAGGAAATTGGCATGGCCAAATTTAAGACCAACTTAAAAGGGATGTAAACCTCTGGATTTCAGGCAGTCTTTGAAGGTTCTTAATTCTGCAAAAGAAATTAATCCAGACCTTATCACAAAATCTTCCATCATGCTGGGTCTTGGAGAAACTGATGAGCAAGTACATCAGACATTAAAAGGTAAGCATGATTTCTTTTAAATTTGTGTTTGTTTTATCTTCTTACCCCAGATAAACATACTTTTACACATCTCTGAAGGATGCTGTCATCTGAGATGTGACCCCATGTGGTGTGATAGAAGTATATCAGTCATTTGGAGGAGCATACTTCATCTATCAAGATGGAGGCTGTATGTCATTCTGAAACATAAGTAAACTTCTACCATAATATTATACTTCATCCTGTTGCATTGATATACCTTTTATAATCATTTTTCTTTTTCTGTCTATAATGCAACAAATTAATAACATTAATTCATACGATTGTTAAATGTATAAAATGTTATTAAAATATCTGGTCTAGAAAACCGAGATTAATGGCCGTGGGAATCCGTTGTGCTGACCACGCGACATCCTCTGTCCGCAAAAGTTGGTACTAACTTCGCTGACAAGTGGCAGTTGCTCGGTTGGTATAGTTCGCTTGTGGACTACAGGCCACGGAGTTTGTTGTTATATATATATATATATATACAC